TATATATATATATAATAAAGATAATATAATAGAATAAAGAAATAAAATATAATACATTATAACATAGTATAATAAAACAGAAATGTATAAATAACTTTAACATTATTAGTTAAAAAGTTAATAAATTAACATTTTTGTTTAGTAAGATGATAAAATTGGGTAATTGGCCATGCCCCTTTTAGATAATACAATATAATAAATTGAGTATTCTAAAATGTCCATATCATGCACGCATCAATAGAACCAACAAACCATGCATTCAATAGCCAACTAACTCCAACCTATATTTTTGTTTTCTTATTTTCAACTTTAAAGACGCAAGAAAATAAAATTTTAGAAAAAGATGGAAATAATCTCCAAGAACGACTAAAGGCATCGCAAAAGCTCGTAAAGCATCGAACTCCTGATATCAGGAGTCAATTAGGCTGTGCTCCCTCTTTGTTCTCCAAGTTAATTTCCTTTTCCCTACTCAATAGGTCAGATTTTGGAGATTTCTTAGCAAAATTTTGGTCGGAAACTTGTGATTCTGATTTGTTTGCGGTATTACATGGGTTCGTGCATTCTTCTGCTAAATTTGTTAGGTTGCCGATTTGTTGCTGAACGGTCATCTATCTTTGTCTCGTGAATCTGATTTCTATATCGTTTTCCTCTGTGCGTCTCTGTCTGTTAGTCTCCTTTACTTCTTCGCCAGCCTTCCATTTTGTTGATTCTCATTTCTTCAGATCCCTTCATCGCTCATTGGTGGGTTGAATATTAACTTCTGCTTGTCTTCATCCTTGTTGGCTCTTCTCCTTTTCCTTCTTCCTGAGCTTTGAGTTACTTCTCTTTTTCATCAGAAAGATTAAACCCTTACGTTTCTTCTTCATTTTCACCTCATACATTTTCGTGCCTTCCTCAGATTTTTTGTCTACTCACTATTTAAGGTGTTGTTGGAAGATTTGTACCGGTTAAATACCATTCCTTGGATGGGCAACGGGCTGGGCTGTATTCCAGGAACGCAACCCAATGGGGGCGTTGGATCTCGGAGCAAAAGCAACTCACGGTCTCAGAGAAAAACGATAACAGAAGAGGATTTACTGCACCGGCAGGCCCTTGCTATGGCAATTCAACAGCACCAGCTATCCCAGAGGTTTGATGGTTCGATGTCGAGACGAATTGGCTCAACGAGCTCCCGCAAGCAGACTCCCTCTTCCTCTTTCAGAAAACCGGTAGGCCCGAATTTTTATATTGTTGATAATTAATTATTGGCATTGTTGTTTATTATGCTTGGAAATGATATGCTATCAATCATCATCTACACTTTATATAAAATCATGCTTCTGCTGCTTTTACCTCGACTGACTAATTAATAATTTAAATGTTGTCGAAAGTTCGTAGTAGTAAAAAGGTGAATTTTGTCCCATTTGAATAAAAACCTTGTTTCTTGCTTGGAACTATGCATTTTGTAGGTGCCAGTGCATTGAACATGTATTCGATTAAGAAAGTAACAATTAACAGATATGAGGGCCACCCCATTTTTCTGGACTGTGCTTCCGAATCATTAGTAAATCTACTTTTATTTCTTATTAAATAATATTGAAGCAAGTATTGATGTTTGCTAGTTGCTCACTATCTACTTCTGATATCAGTAAGACTTGACGGACATGTGAAAAAATAATGAGTAACTATGGAGTATGATAATTAATAACATTACATTGTCAATTCTGTAACATCCTTGCAGCTAATTGACAACCAAGTGTATAAATTTCACAAGTTTGACATGCGAAGGCAGCATTTACTAAAAGAAAAAACGAATGAATTCTATCATTATGGTAAATCTGTAACCGGAGAGGAGCAGTGCAGTCTATATTTCTTGCACCTTTGAAAGCGCATAGGCACAGTGAACTGAAAATTATTGGGATGAGAATATTGATGATGATAGGTTTGCTACCAATATCTGTTGAACCGAATTATTCACATTTTGCAGCTATTATGAACTTGGTTTAACCAAGTCACCAAGTTATTGAATCTACTCACCAAAAGTTTCTTTAACATAAGATATAATGAACTTGCTAACAAACTGCTATTCAATATTTCTAATCGATATTCAGTTTCTAACTTTGTCACTTAAACTCAGTTAAACTTTTAATCAACTCTAAAGGATAATCAAGTTGCCAAAATAAAGAGTTTTATTTAGCTTTGAGATTGGTTCCACTTGATATAGAATTTCCAATGAAGCTAGCCAAGCACACAAAGTTACTTGCTCAGAGCGGAGTTGCAAAACTTAAGTAGAGCAGCTTCCTAAGAATTATTTTCTTTATGTAGAGCTCATCAAGAGTTATTCATGTAATTAGAAAAGCACAAGTTAGTTATGCTTATTCAATTTCAGAGCTAGCATTGCTAAGTCTTGTGTAATTTTACTTTTGTCTCTCAAATGTAACCTTTTCTATAACAATGAACTTCAATGCAAGCTTATGATTAGGGTTTTATGGATGAGCTTGAGATCACTTGACACATTTTGATTTACTTTGGTAATATTAGTTTGTACTTTGTGACAGAGATCCGGCAAAATCATAGAGTTCATCTATAATTTTCTCTTTATCTCTTTTCTTCCGTTTATGACAATTGTTCTATACTTAGTAAAATTTTGGTTTCATTTAGAAATAGATTTTGATCCAAAATCCTTTTAGATGTGATAAGGATGGAGTATGCTGACAATAATAAGCTATAGAACATGAAATATCTTGATGATATAAAAAGACCTCCATAGAACATCCTTTTAGCAACCTGTCACACCCTAGCGGATCTCCCCCTTAAGGTTAAACGGTGGTGCAATAGAGGTGGATGACTCGGGCATAATTCCGACTAGCAGTTATTCTAACTTGCACAATTAATCAAGTTAGTATTACTCACAAATATTCATAATCCAATTCAATTCAAAATTCATTTATATTCTCAATTTCTTGGAACCATGCATAATAATTTTACCAAAGCATATACAAAGTTGCTAAAAAAAGCAAGCATATAGAGATACAGATCCAAAAGTCTTTACAACTTTCTAAAAAACATACAACCCAAATATAATTCTTGGGTTCCATTACCGAGAGGGAGGCATAACAAAGAATCAAAGAAGAATCGAGGGGTGGAGGGGACAAGGAGGCGGGGGGGGGGGGGGGAGGGGGGAGGCGGAAGGATCAGGATGCCGAATAGGTGAAGTTCGCCTATAAATCATGACAAACAACTTACCTGGGAATCTAGTTGAAGAGGAAGACAAGAAAAGGTTCTGTCGAGCTTCAGTGGCGAAGGTACACATGCCCTACCCTACCAACGAAGATGAAGAAGAGAGGAAAGATCATTGCATAGGAGGAAAAGATGGGCGGTTTCGGTGTCAAGCAGGCAAGGAAGCGAGAGAGAGAGAGCGAGAGAACAGAATCAAGCTTGCGTACGATTCAAATCTCGTAGGGAAGAGAAGCTGAAGTCTTGGACGTAGGAAGTCTCTCTGTGTGCTTCCATGGGTCTAACCTAGAGACCGACGAAGGAGAGTAAGAGGAGCTCTCAGCCAATCTCTAGCGTGCAAAGGAAGAAGAAAGTTGTGCTGAATGGGGCCAAACTTTTGGTAAGGCAAAAATATTAATTTTTGTATTTTTAATATTATATATTAATTAGTTTACATATATAATAATAATAATAGTAATAATAATAATAATAATAATAATAATAATAATAATAATAATAATAATAATAATAATAATAATAATAATAATAATAATAATAATAATAATAATAATAATAATAATAATAATAATAATAATAATAATATGAAACATTTATTTGAAATATGAAAGTAAGATTACAAGTACTTATTTAAATTTGAGTGGACACTTCTTGGATATTAAATGAAATCATAAATATTAATTTAGTTAAAGTTTTGATAGTTAAACCAATGTAACATGAATATTTAAAATAAAGTTTCTAATCAACTATTACGGTTACACGAGTAATTAAGATGTTAATTAAGCATCATTAATGATATGCTTAAGAATATACTTTTACAATATTGTAGAAAGCTAAATATTGGAGGCAAAAAATAAACATGTTGGAAAGATACCATACAACTTTGAGCTGAGTATTCATGTTCTTATATTATGGTGATATTTTATTTCTTCTAAATCAAATACATTTATTTGTATTGTCATTTATTATGTTAAAACTAATGCAACTCATGATTTTGAATTCTATCAAATTTTTGTTCATATTGAAGAATAATATGTATGTACATTATTATTGATTGATTTGACTGCTATGCAAAATTAATTTTTTTTATTATTTAATGATATTTTTATTGGATGTTTATATGTGCATGATTGACTATGATTGTTTCACCTCCTAGTGGAACTAGTGGTACCCATATGCATATATGAAAAAAGATATTGTTATTGAAGTACCTTAAGTGGTACAATTTTTAGACGGTGTTTCTGTGACGATTGTATATACATGAAATATTATTGTTATGATATTCATGTAAACTTTTTGAATAACATACTAAATATTTATATTGATTTATAAAGAAGCTTAACCGACATGCATATTATCATTTTTTTTATTGTTGTAGTTTATGAATATGAGTATTCACTTGGCTTGTTATGCTCACCGTTATTTTTAAATTAATTTTTCAAGTAATTTTTAAGTGATTTAAAATATGAGTGATAGAAGAGATAAACGTTTATTGAAGATGCAAACAACTAGTAACAAGATAAATATTAATTATACTGTTTTGATTTAATTTGATTATTGACTCTTTTATCTGTTGAATTGTAGATTAATATAAAAAAATTAATTTACACCGGCCGATTATCTGTTTCCACCTTGGTTAATATCAGAGCACAAGATTTAAAATTAATTAATGAAATCTTGATGAAAGAGTCAATGAGATAATTATAAGAAAATATTAAAAAAAAATTAAAATTTAAAATTAACTCAAACTAATATGTATATCCATTCAGGCATCGTGCTACAACCGAAATTATTAAAGAAGGGAATCCAATAGAAAATGCTTAATGAGTTATAACATGCTGTCTGTTATTTTAAATTTTGAGGACGAAATATTTATAAGTGAGAAAAATTGTAAAGTTTGGGTTCTGTTACTAGGAAGGAGGCGTAACGAAGTATCAAAGAAGAATCGTGGAGTAGTGAGAAACGAAACGAGTTGGGAAGTCGAAGAGGGGGGAGGTGAAGCAGAAGGATCATGAAGCTGAATAGGTGAAGTTTGCCTATAAATCATGACAAACGACTTACCTGGAAATCGAGCCAAAGAGGAAGACAAAGAAAGAGTTCTGTATGGCTTCAGTGGCGAAGGAACCCGTGCCCAAGCTTACCATAAAAAATGAAGGAGAGATGAAGGATCATCGCAGAGGAGGAGAAGAGGGGCGGCGTCAGTTTCGAGCCGTGATCGAGGAAGTTGCTGTTGCGACATTGACATTGTCGAGCATACGAGGAAGCTTAAGAGAGAGAACCAATGCAAGCTTGTGTGTGATTCAGATCACTTAAAGAAGAAGAGTCGAAACCGTTAAAGGAGGAAGTCTCTCTGTACGCTTCTCTGGGTCAAACCAAAAAGGAGGAAGTCTCTCTGTGCGCTTCTCTGGGTTGAACCAAGAGACCGTCTAAGGAGAGGAAGTGAAGCTCTCGACCATGCTCTAACGTGTGAAGTAAGAAGAAAGTCACGCAGGTGCTGAACTGGGCCAACCTCCTGGTAAGATAAGAATATTAAGTTTTTTATTTTTAAAATTATATATTAATTATTTTATATGTGTAAATATTATAATAATATAAATAATATGAAAGCTTTATTTGAAATATGAAAGTAAAATTACAATTACTTATTTAAATTTGAGTGGACACCTATTGGATATTGAATAAAATCATAAATGTTGATTTAGTTGAAGTTTTGATCGTTAAATTAAAATGACATGAATGCTTAAAACAAAGTTTCTAATTGACAATTAAAGTTACATAAGTAATTAAGAGATTAATTAAGCATAACTAATGATATGCTTAAAATTATATTTTTACGATATTGTAGGCAGCTGACTGTTGGAGACAAAGATTAAACATGTGTGAAACAAGCCATACAACTTTGAGGTGAGTACTCATGTTCCTCTGCTATGGTTATAGTTTGTTTCTTCTAAATCAAATGCATTTGTTTGTATTATCATTTGTTATATTGAAATTA